TTTTAATTTTTTGTAATTATGCGATATGATATTGCGCCCGTGCGGACGTGCGCGTGTGTGTGTGTGTATATATATGTGTACTCTCTGGTTACGATTAAAACTTTTTATGTAAATAAAGTAACTAGTAAAATCGTTACCATTATCCCAAAAATGCAACTGTGTTACTATGAACATTATTCAGCAGAAAATGTAAACATGTCGTTACTCAATCGTTACCAAACAAAGTAACGGTATCGACGTGCTGCTAGCATTGCCTTTTATTATTGTACTGCAATATATTTCTAAAAAAATGTACATTAATTTCCATAATGGTTGACCCCTCGAATAAATCAAACATAAAATTGAAATTCATATAGTAATGATTAATTTTTAATTAAGAATTAAAATTATTATAAATTATAATTTCGTAGTGATTCGAGCTTTATAATTTGATTCTTTATATTACTTTTTTTACATACAAATTTCCAACTGCTCCAAATTTGTTAACGCTAGTTTACATACATGTTTTTTTTTTTTTAATAAAAAGTTTAAAATTTTGAAATTTAATTCCTTATGCAAATTATGCGTATAGAATTATAAAAAAAGAAAGATTTATTATTTCTGGAGTATAGTAATATTGATATATTATACTTATCATAATTACACATCAGCACATACACTCACAATTCTCCTTGTTTATTAACCGTAAACTTTTATTCGTATGAACCTTAAAAATATAATCTTTATATTCATATTTTTAATTAAAATTTAATAAAGAAATATAAAATATATAACAGGAAGAAAAAAATATGTATGTATGTAAAAAAAAAGAAATATCGTATGATTTAAAGATTGATTATCAAAATTCAATATCAAATGTCATTAATAAAATTATTTAAATATTTATTTACCAATAAAATTTAACGAATTATTATAATATTTGATTCGTGCAATAACAGCTATTTATATTATGTATCAGAACTATTGATAAGGATAGGCTACGTTCTGTTCTTTACCGATTTTGATCAAACTTGCAGCGATTAGTAATCTTATTTAAAAAAAGCTGCAAGATTTAAAAAATAAATCCTCACTCTCTGAAAGTTAAAAATGCATGTAAATATATAAGACAAATTTTTTTTAATTGTTTTATATTAGTCACAGATAGCTTTTAGACAGGCACCACCATGAAGTTGAATTCAAATTTTATTTTCCACATTATTTAACTATCTTTTTTTGTTATATACTGTATTTATCTAATTTTATTCTAATTGTAGGCAACTGCATTGAAATAATATGTATTTGATAAACATTAAAATTCTTCTCCAATAAATTCAATATGTGAGTAATTATGCAACTAGTTATAATATTGCTATAATTATGGAAACTTATATTTAAAAAACAAGAAAAATATAATACAATTTCATGTATATTATTGCGGTATCAAATTAATTAATACAAAAGTCATTACTAAAATTATTCACACAGTTAATAATTCTTAGCATTTTTATAATATTATACGCTAATTGCGCAAGTTAGTGATATAATAACTTTCATCACAAAAGTATAAAAGCTATTTTAAACGAGTTAGGGGTAAATATGACTGTTCGCTCTAAGAGAGAAGTGTCTTAAGGGTTGCAACACAAAATTAAGACTGTATGCATATGATAGCGCATAAATAGCACAATATTATTGTATATAATTTTTTCATTAAAATTTGGTCAAGTGGAGGGGTCAACTAGACAGACGTCTTTTTGTACTTATACCTATAATTAGATACCATTTCTTGTGTACTGATATCTATACTTGATACATTTCTCTCTCTCTCAGTTTTAGATGATACTTTCCTGCACTAAGGCAATTTTGTAATTGTCACAAGTTTGTATTACATTTTGAAATCATATTTAGAAGTTCAATCTCGAATTAGCACCGATATTTTTTAGTCAATTTATAACATTAAGTTATACAGAGTGTGTTTTATTTTGATTTTATTTCAACTTTATGTGATTTGACATTAAAATTATCTAAATTGTACTAATGATTTAAAAAATTAAGATCTAAATGTTTATAATTTCTTTTTTATGTTATGATTCTAATAAATTTATTTACACATTTAGTTGCTGTGTTGGTTTTTTGCAGGTATTTTACATTATTAATTTATTTAAAATTTCAAGCATTTCATATTTCATTATATTATTTTTCAATAATAAGTAAATATTAATAAATTATTTAATAAAACTAATTAATGGTTTTATAAGTGTTATTTTATTGTATTTAATACGTTAAACTTATTGAATATTTATGTAAGTAACAAATTCTATAAATACAAAAGTTCTTATAATCTTTTTCTACAAATTGCATAATTTAAATAATAGATGTATTGTAATATTAATAATATTTTCGTTTTACATATATTTGCAGTTTTAAATTTCTTTTATATTTATTTTTCTTATTTTTCTTATAATATGATTTTAAATATAAAATCGAAGTGCAGCGTAAACTGGTACCTATTTGTGAGACAAATCATAAGCTAACTTAATCTTTATGTAATGTTGTGTTATAGTGTTTAATATCAAGTTATAATCCTCAAAGGCAATCTTGTATTTACGGAAAAATCCACCAGAAAAAAAACTGTGTTACATGTTTGCAGAGCATGAAACTAAGATTTATATGCACGTGTTGTATAATTATATATGTATTTTATATGTATAATAAATAAATATTACGCGCAGATATATGAAATATACAGATCTATATCTAGAAATATACTACCTATACAGATCATACCTCACAAGCAAACTGTCGTCATTTGATGTCAAAATAACGTTAAAGACATTATTTTATCGTCAAAATGCAATTTATTCAAAAATGTTATGTTAAAAAACCTGTATCTAGATACTGAAAATAGAATACTTTACACAATACTATGCATATACATATTTTATGCTCTGCAAATGTGTAACGCAGTTTTTGTTTCTGGTGGATTTTTCGCAAATACAGAATTGCCTTCAGGACATTGCTCTGAGGACTATAATTTGACACTATAACGCAACATTATATAAAGATAACTTATAGTCACTATATAAAGTTAGCTTATAGTCTGCCTCACAAACAAGTACCAGTTTACGCTGCACTTCAATTTTATATTCAAAACTATAGTACAAGAAAAATAAGAAAAAGAAAAATTTTTTTAATTTAAAACAAATATGTAAAATTAAAAAATAAATTCGTTTTTATGTAGATATGTTGAATTTAGAATCTGAATGATTGTATTTAGAAAATAATATTGGTAATAATCAACAAGCAGTTGCAGGATAACAACAATTACGAAACCAATTTTCCAGAAGATTGCAAAAATATAACTTTGATGCGGAAATCGTGAACAAGCTTTAAGAAAATTGCATAAAAGTAGGATGAAAGTCTTCCGCTAGTTGCGTAAACGTTACCAAATTACAGAGACTACGCAAAAGAGCTATGCATTTGGATGAAGCAATACTAACAATAAGACACGGGTCGACCGACAGAGTCTTGTCGAGATCAGCAAAAGGAAACTCTATAAACATCTACCACAAATAACGCAGAAAGAGTAATTAATATTATCCATTGGAAACGTCTCTTTCGGTCTCAATTATTAGCTGTCGCTCATGTTACAATGCAAACAGAGTACATATACAAGATAGAAAAGTCGCGAGCACATCTCATTACAATAAGTGTCCAAGTGTGTGTGAGTTTTACTGAAGACTTTATTTATGCAAACGATCAATTATTCCATCATTTTCTGATGGAATCTCGACACGTGCTCACTACAAAGATTACATGATTTTATATAAAAACAAGCCACAAATATATATCGATCCCACACTTAATATCGATTTAGTGATACAGATTAGATGTATAGGTACATCGTGCGAATTGCTGATTTGCGCACTGAGAAACAGGTGCATTTTTAATATCCACAATTTTCATGACTCAACATCAAATGTGCCTGTATTCAAACCAGCATGATGATATCTACGCATCCGATTTGTAACGTTAAATCAATAATTAGGTATGTAATCGATAATTTTCTCATAGAGTAAAAAACTGTTTCAACTACTCTGATTTATCCTGTATTATATATAAGTAATATGATTGGAAACGAGACCGTTTATATTAAAACTTGAAATAACGAAGCGCCTTACCGGTCCGAGTGTTAAGATGTTGAACTACTATATAATATACATTCATTTAAATTTCTGAAAATTAATTCAATTTAAATGAATGTATATTATATAGTAGTTCAACATCTTAACACTCGGATCGGTAAGGCGCTTATTTTAAGTTTTTATATATAAGTGTTTACAATATATATAAGTTTTCCTTAATTATCTAAATTAAAGAAGTAAAAACTTATAATTAAAACTTATAAATAAAACTTAAAATCATTTGCAGTTTGTTTCTATCATATGTTTTTATCAATAATGAAATGTTTAGTTTCTAAGAAATGAGAGGGGAAGTCTCTTTAAGGAATCAATATATCAACGAGTTTCCTCTAACGATATACGTATGTATATACGACATGTAATAAATAAAGAAAGAAAACCTAAAAATTAATATAATCTGAGTTGTAAAAATTAATAAAAAATTAATTAATTTTATTAATAACTATTTAATCTAATTAGAAATATATTGTATATGTACACATTAATGTACGTATTAATGTATACATTAAAGTGACATAATTAATTGTAATTAATAATATAATTTATTATATTTTTGTCTCTATTTTAATAAATTTTTATTCTATTATAAATTGAATAATTGTATTGATAATTTGAATAATAAATGTGATAAAAATGATAAGAAATTACTAGTTCTATAGTTCTTCGGATGAAATCATACTTAACGAATAACGGATCATTAAAAAATATTTACATTATTCATCGATCATTATTTATTATTTCCAAGGACGTAGAACGACATTTACGATTCGGTTTTCCTGTAGAGAGAAGCGTGGATCCCGCGAAGGCGCTCAGTTACAAGCAGTCTACAGAAAGAGTACGATGGATCATGAGGCAGATAAAAAGAAAATTAAAAAAGTACAATGGCCTCAATGGATTGCTGGTATCGGAGGTATGTATTCTGTGCAATATCGATAAAATATATTAATCAAAATATTTTAATCTAGTTTTTAAAATACATTGATATTTATAGATGAGAAAAAAAATATTTACTTGACTTCATGTATAGTGTACAAAGAAAATAATCCACATTAAAAATATAAATATAAATAATATTAAGAGTCTTTATTTTAGACCGTATAAATATAATTAACGACTAATAATTTTGTGTTTTTCAGTCAATCTTCTGCAATTACAAATGGGACTGATATCGTTGTGGAGCTCACCGTATATCGCATATCTGACTTCACCCGAATCTCACATCCCCATGACAATGAACGAGGCTTCCTGGGTAGTTTCTCTATTGAACCTAGGCAGGCTAATTGGCGCCATTTCTGGTTCTGTTGCCGTTAACTATCTCGGTGCTAAAACATCGGTCTTCATAACGAGTTTGCCAATAACTCTCTGTTGGCTCTTTATAATTGTGGCTAATCGAGTGGAATGGTTGTATGTAGCCAGATTACTAGCTGGCATCAGTTTAGGAAAGACGTACAGCTGCTTCTCACTTTACTTAGGCGAAATTGCGGATCCTTCTATTCGCGGAGCTTTAGTCGCATTAGGTACGCTACGTGTGTATAAATCTTCATGGATAAATGCAGTGCATTTTAAAAATATGAAAGTGCTTGATATCCAGATATTTTGAAATAATAACGAACCAATGATTCCATTTATTTAATTATGGATGATTACATCATAAAAAAAGGCGTCCAGATTATCGAGCTGAATCTCGAGCGGAACTTCAAACCGAGCTTTAAGCCAAATCTCGTACTGAACCTAAAGACAACCTTTGACAAAACAAATTTCGTGAGTATCGCAAACATTTCAGTAAATCATATAATATTATGGTTTTAATTGTATATTTTATGCATTTAAATACTGAGTCGAAAAGTAAATCGTTATTTGCAACGAAGTTACAGTTAGGATTACGTTTTTTTCAATAATTATATAATAATTTTACTTCGTTTCTCTTTTACATCTATAACTGTAACTTAACTTAGTTATATTTTTTAAAACTAATTGACTAATTTAATAGTTGTATACTTTTATAATTACATTAAACTTATTTATCAACGCATGAGTGAAAAATATCACATTCGATCAAGACGGTTCTTCGTGCTTAACAATATTTCTTGTGAATTTATACAATTTCCAATTCAAGCAAACTATGTGCCGATTATTTGTCGATCTTGAAACACAATCCGATGGAGCACTCCAGCTTCGGTTTAGGACTGTGTTTCAAGACCGACAAATAATCAGCGTACAATTTGCTTGAACTGGAAATTGTATAAATACACAAGAAATGTTATTAAGCACGAAGAACCGAATCTCAAACCTTGATCGAATACGACATTTTTCAGTTATGTATGTTCAATCTCATTAGTCAATTTTCATTTAATATTGTTTTTTTAATATTGTTATTTATCAATATATAAACCGATGAAAATAAAAAGTGAACAATCAATGATTATTTCTAGTGATTGAAATATATCTATCCCTGATAGTAGTGATAATCATCACAGTCTGTAAATGTTTATATTAAAAAGATAACAATATTAAACTAAATTCCCGAGATAACAAATTAATAATAAATAAATAAAAAATATGCAACTGAAAATTAGGCATTGTCGACGATGCGCAGTTTGTTTTTTAAAAAAAGTTTTATATAAAAAATGAAAGTACATGTTTCGGCTAATCTTTTAGCCTTCTTCAGCAAGAAAGAACAAACGATTATTACAGTAGATTGCTAACCATTAATTATAATTCGAAGTAAAAAGAAAAATAATTACAGTACACTGTTGTTCAATCAAAATCATTGTGAGGCAACGATCATTCTCCCATTATAGAGTAACTCTAGTTGAAAGGCTGGATAGTAGCGATTGTTTGTTATTTATTTGTTTATATTAAACTAGGATCTTTTTAATATGTAAATGTCTTAATATTGATCCCATAATTTTGTTTCCAAGTGTATATATTAATTTATTATAAATAATATAGAGTGTGTAATTAAACGTTTAATAAATAAGTAAAATAATTTAGTAATATTAAAAATATATACAACTCTTGTGTTTCAAATAGCAATGCAAATAGGAAAAATTAACAGAGAAGTAGTTGGAAAGTAAACTCGTTGACTTTTAAAATAACTATGATTGTAATGTATTACTTTTCATCTCATAACAGAAACTAGTTACTTTTACAAAGTAACTTTCCCAATCCTGGTTAAATATACACGCGATGCTCACGATGTTTGGCTCGAAGTTCATCTCTAGGTTCGGTTTGAGGCTCGGCTTAAAGTTCAACTCAATAATCTGGACGCATTTTAAGGCAAAATATTCCTTCCAAAGTTTGATAGCAGATATTGAGATACTAGATTGTGTTTACGATAATACATATATTTAAAAAAAGATTTAATTATCGTAGCAAAAAAATCGCTCTAATATATTCACATATTCGATATAAAAGCGACTAAACTTTACTGTCGTAAACATTTATTTTATATTATAGCAATATATGTGTGTTATTAAAAAATTTTTAATCTGTTCATAAAAATATAAATGTACTGCTAAAGCTAATTTAATTTATTGCTACAACGAAATCGTGAAATATTTCTAGCAAATTTTCTGTTAAAAAAATTTACACAATTAACAAAATTTTGTTCAGCAAATACAAAATTAGTATTTCTAGCAAATTTTTTTGCTGAATATAGTAATTAACTTTAATGTAATACAGAGTGAATAACAGTAGTTAAATCAGTTTATCTTATGAAAAAATAATCGATTACACACCTAATTATCGACTTAATGATACAGATTGGATGCGTCGATAACATCGTGTAAACTGCTGTGGTTTGAGTATATATACAAAAATAGGCACATTTAACATTGAGTTTTGAAAATTGTTATAAGATATTAAAAATGTGTCTTTTTCTCGGTACGCCCAAATCAGTAATTCACACGATGTATTCACGCATCTGATCTGTATCGCTAAGTCGGTATAATTAGATGAGGTCAATAATTTTTTCTTAAGATAAAAAACTGGTTCAACTACTCTGAATATGCACTCTGTATATTGTGTCAAAGTAAATCTTTCATTTCTCCATATAGTCACAAAACTAACTATTTGGAGAATTTGGAGAATTTGGAGAATTAAATTATTATTAAAAAATGTATTTTATATGTACATATTACAGTATCAACATCATTAATATTTATATTTGTACAATACTAATTATGAAATTAATATTATCACATTAGTTTAAAGAATAATTTGAAGAAATCATCAAAAACATAAAATCGCAAACTATTTGAACAATTAGTTTTGTGATGGTATATAATAATCAATAAATGTTCAATTTTTAATTTGCATTTGTATAATAATACTTTCAGTTTATAAAATTGATGAGATATAACACAAAAGAAAAAGCAAAAAATTCTAAATAGTTAAAGAGCATAGAATCGCATTAATAGTGAATAATGATTTATAATAGTTAGAATGAATAATTAGAAAAACCGGCACTGGATTTTCTCGCGTGCAGTACACAACTTTATTAATAAAATTGATAGAAAAGATATAATACGTTAGATGTAAAGATGCATATAAATTAAAAGGCGTAAACGTTTCGTGTTCTCTTCAGTACAATATAAATTAGGAACATAAAAATTGTCCATTTCTTCTATAAGGTCAAATTGCAAATAAACAGTTATCATGTGAGTTAAAAGATGTAAGATTTATGAATAAGTAAGATATAAATTCAAATGAATCAAAATTTAAAAGAAAATACTGAATAGATTATTATAAACAATAAATCAAATGTCGGATTCAGAATGATCATCAACAGAGTTAAAAAACGATTGTCACAATCACTTGACAATCCTTTTGTTTGCAACTCAGAAGAAACCTGTTCTGTTTTAATGGACAATTATTATCCGTTTTCAATTTATATCGCATTGAAGAAGACTCGAAATGTGAGTCAAAACATTTGCATTTTTCTTTTAATTTAATTTATATATCTCTTTATATCTAACGTATTGTACATGTTTTTTCTATCAATCTTGTTAATCTGGAAACACTGATGTCAGCGTTAAAGTACGCGACATTAAAAATTGTACATTATATACGAAAATCCAGTATCGACTATCATGAGCATTATTTCTTATATTGTTTAAATTAATATAAGCATTTATATAAAGATTAATAAGAATTAATGTCTTTTTTACAGCTGTAAGCGGATTATCAATAGGCAATCTAATGATGAGTATCATGGGTGCGTATTTAAGAATGGACGTGAGCGCTACCGTATGCTTGATTCTTTGCATCATACTAATAATAATTTTCATTTGGTTGCCGGAATCGCCACATCATTTCGTCAAGATCAAACAGGAATCTAAAGCGCGAACCTCGATACTCTGGTATCACCGTGATTGCGATGTGGAATCGGAATTGCAAGCACTAAAGCTCTTTCTCGAAAAGAATAGGAGCTTACGATTTACGGAAGTTATAAAGGAATTCAAAATTCCGTATATTTGGAAAGCACAAATACTCGTATCGCTACTCTTCATGTATCTTCAAATATGCGGCCTAAATAACGTGTTATTCTACATGGAGACCATTCTGAGACACACCAAAGTGACAGTCATAAAACCGTCAATGATCGTAATTATCGTTACTGCTACCGGGATCGCCGGCTCTATGCTTTCTATGCTCTTAATCGATAGGTTCGGCAGGCGAATCTTAACGATCGTCTCCACCTTAGCTGTCACGATCTCGCTAATCTGTCTAGGTATACAATATCAGCTTCTCGATGCAGGTTATAACCCCGCTAGTCTTCAGGCTCTACCGATTTGCTCAGTGTTGCTCTTCCAGATAGCTTTATACGTAGGCCTCGTCTCGATACCTAACACGGTACTGGGTGAGATCTTTCCGCCACATATTAAGTGCGTAGCTGGTTGTTTCGCCAGCATCATCTGTGCGATATCCTCCTTTATCTCCACATCGACATATCAGCCTTTAATCAATTTAATCACAGAAAAATACTTATTCTACGTGTATGCTTTGTTACTGGTAACCGCCGTACCGTATGCCTATTTCTGCATGCCCGAGACTAAAGGCAAGTCGTTGCAGGAGATTCAAGAAGTACTGGACGGAAGAACTAAACAGTCAGTTAGTTGAGTCATTTGAATACATTTATCGAACTATCTGATCGGTCTATAGAAAACTTATAATCGAATTTGTTTTCTTGCATTTATTACAAAAAGTTTTTCACAATAGATCGATAATGTCGATATCGATATCAAATAATGTTGATATGACAAATAATGATTTAACAAATTGTAACTTCAATGTAATATTTTTATTTCGTCTCAGCAAATCTACATTATTTAATTAGTAACAAGATCAGTTGAATTGACAAAAAAACATTTTAAAGAATAGATATATAAAAATGTCTGCTCACCTCTACTCATTATATATTATCTTTGCACATGCATTAAACTGTAAGAATAATTAAATTTTTTATTTTATTTGTAATACGCGATTGTTTAAAATAATTTAATTAAATTTAAATCATTATAATTTTAAACCATTATAAAATGGTTATGCCTTTAAAAAATATACTTTTAGCAATTAATATAAAAAATATATCAATAAAATTGTAAGCGTATAAGATGACTAATACTTATCTAATCATTCTTGTAAGCAGAATAATAATGAACAGAGACGTGTTTTTTCCGACAGCATAATTATTTATCACCAATTACTTCGCGAAGTATTTAAAAGTATAAGTAACTGATGCGAGATAAGAAACGCATTTAATTTTCGCATTAACAATTCTATGCTTCCAAATATCCAACACGATGCATTGAATTGTCAATGTTGCACAAAAACAACAAGAATTTCAAATACGAAGTCGATTCTCGGAAGATACGGAAAGTATTTCAGAGAAAAATCTCTCTCTTATATTGCGCGTATATGTAATATATCATAATGTAACAATGCTTCCTACAAGCTGTTCGCAAATGAATATCTAATCAAAATATTAATTCAAACCTCAAGCATAATTAAGCGATAATCGCGCAGAATCTTGTCAGAAATATTGTAATTATTTTTCTCTCCTGGACGGACATAAGGTAATGTCGGTAATGGAACTTGGCCAGATTCATATTTTATAAAATATTTCACTTGGATGGTCACCAGCGACAACATTAAAAGCGCAATGGGGCCATGATCTAAGGCTGTAAATTCAAGACTGTCTTATCTCACACAGATCATTTTGTCAATAACACTTTACATTTATATTACGAGGAAAATAAAACCAACGTATTACGCAGCTAATTAATCTAAAAATAACTACGCAATAAAAAAGAGCTTACATTAAATTGCGTAGAGAATGCATTACCTATATGTGGGTATAATATTTAAAAAATGACACGATAATTATAATAAACATCTCAAAATACAAAAAGACAAAATAGACACTCGAAAATAATCCATCACTAGAAAGAAAAACAATTAAAAGCTGATATAATAAATAAAATATTTATTATAAGCATATATAATTTCTTATTTTTGACATTTCATTTATAGCGAATTTGATTAAATGCGCTCAGTGTGTATTAGTGCACATTAAAATCGTCGTACACAAAGTGACCTAAAAATATGTGTTTTATATATATATAAATGGATTAAATCTCAATACATTTTATTGTGTTGTTACGTAAAACCTAAAATTTTATAATTCGAAATATCTGCTTTTTACTTTTACACGGATTAAATCAGTAGATGTACAACGGCTTTAATATGCACTAGTGCGCACTAGTGCGTCCAACCAAATTCTATTACATAATAGATCCTGCGAATTAATCGAACAACGTGATCACATTCTGCTCTTCTTGTATATGCCAACGCATACTCGGTTAGAATTTTAAATTCATTATCGTAAAATATCATTAGAGCTACAAGAGGTGCATAAACCAATAACTGTAACCGCTGCATCATGGGCAAACATTGTATAGGCATAATGCTCCGTAATGCACCAATTAAATTAGGGTGAGATAAATGGGTTTCGCTTGCGTCGAAACATTTGCATTTTATTTACATCACACTTTTCAGGCGTATCACTATCAGCAGAATTTTTTTTTACGAGATAAGAATAATTGCGAAGGCGTGCGTAATAGAGTATGCAAAAAGAATCGACCGCATAAAAAGAATGAAATCAAGTGAAGTAAAAACACAGTCGTGACAGTCAGTTGTTTAAACAATCTTGTCAAGATGTGGATAAAATTCTAGGTAAGCTAAGCACGAAAACATGTCTAGAGAATACTCTGTTTTACTTTAATTTAAATTTAGATATAATGAATCGCCCGGATGCTGCCTCTTATCTATACGTTTCGTAGACGACTGTTCGTCCTTTTATTTTTTCAGGATCGTTATAGTTTAGTACTCGTAATAAAAAGGACTATTACATAAGAGTGCCATTTTCATCGTGGAGTTAAACGCGATAATCTACAAAGCGGCTGAAAACTTGAATTAAATTCTATTGATTTAAATTCCAATAACGCAACTAAATTACAATCAGAAAATAATATTCGCATAACACATTAGTAGTTTTCAATTATGTCACGTACAAAGATGCTAAATTATACTTCTTTCTCAACGCGTGATTCTACAATCGATGGCCATTCTAAAATTAGCAGAATAATTTGATACTCTAATTTTCTCGCTTCGAGACTGCATTGTCAAGGGAATTAAAGGCAAACGGCCGAGTGGAAATGCACCGTCGTTTAATATTTGTTATTGTTCGGTTTTGGCACGCAACAATGAGAGAACCGAGCAACGGAATTACTTTGCCCCCGCAATTATTGCAACTTTCAACTCAACGAAAATGGCCTCGATCGGACGCGTGGGACTCAGTGTCTTTCGCTGCCGCGAGAAAGTTTGTCAAACCGCGTAACGAGCGGAGAGTGTAATTGCCAGCCGAACACAAACTCGATTGTCCTCCGAGAAAGCTCCGACGTCCGCTCCGGAACTACCAATCACATTAGACCTGTCTGCAAGTAAACCGTGAGACAATTAACCCCACCCTCCGTCAGTCGGGTATTCATATTTTGTGGCAAACAGTCATTTTCATCACCATCTAACCCGACGCGACGGCCATGTTGTGGCACCTGTCTTCGATAATGTAATATTGTTCCATAAATATATTATCACAAGTTTAATATAGTTTAACATATTGAAATTAGACATATTTTAATTATACGACTACAAGAAGTTTTATAGAAATTAAATATGGTTTTCCCATACTCTTTCTAGATACAGAGTAATAATTAAGAAGTTGTTACAACTAAATAATTATTTTATGATAAATCGATAGAATAAAATATATTATAGAAAAAACTTTGTTGTAGAACTGTTATAGAAAAAACTCAACATGTTTTTATTAATAGTGAAAAATATTATGTATACCTAAATATGTATGTATAAACTTATAAAAATAAATACTGTAAAAAGATTAAAAATTCAACTGATTACATAACTTATGTTTTTAAAATTGATCTTTTCTTCAATTTTTACAATCAAGCTGCTTTTGAAAATTATTGTGCACTATATAATATCAATAATTATAATTCTATGCCTTCAAAAAATACCAACAAAATTCCTTTCCAAAAGAAAAGAAAATTCCATTATACCAGTAATGCGTAATCTCTCGTGTATATTATATATAATAAAAATATTTTATTTACTTTATGTAATTAACTATATTATCAGAAAGTCTTTCCCTTTTTGCAAAAAGGTTCATGCAAAAATACGGAAAGATTTTCTGACTAACTTAATACTTATATAATTTACCTACATATACATTATATCAAATAAATAGAAATAAAATTTAATCATAATAAGAAAATTATAAATGTATATACGTATATATATCATCATTACTTTATATTAATATTAAGATACAATTTTTCTACTTATTCCAGTTATTAATTTTGAATTGGTTTTTACGACTATGCACCTTGTGCAAAAATAACTATCGGAATTTACTTTAATAAATTTTATTAATAATAAAATTTAAAAAAAACAAGATAATTTATAAAATTCAAGTATTTTATGAACATATTATTTATTTATATAAAAAAATATACGTACAAACATGTAAGCTACATTTCCAAAATATAAATTCTTAAAAATTGTTTTCAATGTATCTCAAATGAAATTGTTAAATTATTACCATTAATAATAATGTTATTACTTTGATAGTTTATATAAAACAGAAAATATATTTTATATTTTCGGCTATGAGACTACAGACTGTAGAAAATTAATTGGCAAGCAACATGCGACCGCGGATTGCGCATCACTTTATTATATTATGACACTGTTGAAGAAAGTACAACGATTAAATCGCAAACAGTCCACTCAAATTTTAGGGTTAATTTAATACAAGATGAATATGTTAGAAGGTACACAAATACTATGTAATAAAATTTAAATAGATAATATCGACACAGTGAATAGATAATATCGACATGGTTTGTAAACAAACCATGGAAACATATTTTTTTCAGTAAAATTAACATTTATAATATGTTAAAGTAATCTACATTTTATTCATTCATCTTAAAATACATTTTAAAATATTATATTTTTACGTTATTTGTACACTTACTCATAAATTGTGCCATTTTGACTAAAAAATGTTAAATATAAATTTAACATAAAATCTTTAAATAATATAATCACATTATATTTAATTAACATACAAATATGATTAAAAAATTCAACTGTCATAAACTGTTAATGAAAACGTGAGTAAACCGTTTCCAACACAAACACACAATTTTTTTTACTGTGCACTATGTCATTACGTTATTAAATCATTATGTCATTATGTTGTTTACAATAATAAAAGAGAATAGAATTGATTCTTGAAAACGTCTTCACTATTGTGCAATATGCTATGCTTAAACGCGCAAATTTCGAATAGTTCAATTGGCTAAGCTTAAAAATCCTTCTGATTAAAAAAAAACCTCAATATTTTGATATTAGAATTTTCATTACAAAATGATTTTAGGAATCTGCTATTAATAGTAAATCTGGTACACATCTTGTATAATACTAATAATTGTAAATTATATGCCTTCAAAAAATTCTAACTAAATTATTTTCATGGA